CCAAAATGCCCAGGGTCCTACTGGATTCAGAAGTTCACCTATGTTTATCATTCTAGCCATCCAAAAAGGCTATTACCCACACTTATTTTAAAAGTTTGCCCAGGGACCATACAGCATTTTCCCTTTCTTTTTGGATTGTGGAAAACACCCAGAACAACCACTCAGCACAATCAACAACCAGAGCGAGGATATCTATTGTTACTCAAGAAAGATAATCTAACTTGAGGATTCTATCTTCCTTTACTCATAAGGTAATGCTCTTAATTAGACCCCAACCAATGTCTCTTGCTCCATTTGACATCTTTTGTCAGTGAAATTTACTCTCCATCCCTTCTATTGTGGGGATTGCCATGCCTCTGTATGGCTCTACTTTCGGTCAAGCAAGAAATATATACTTCAAGACAATGCATAGAAGAACATACCAGATGACAAGCAACATTTGTCCACAGAGCTAGCAAAAGACAATCCTATATTGCCTGAGGTGAAACCTGATGCAAGAAGCTCGCAGTTTATACCTTGAGATATTATTTTAACTCAGGTCTTTTTACCCTACAACCTCTGATCAGGATAATTTCTGCAATGTTCCGTTTCCTCCCCTATCCCATCCTCCAATTCAAGCTCTTTAATGTCCAGCCTGAAGCTTCTCTAAGGATGCAGATATACAGTGAGGAACACAAGGATTGCTTCAAAGTTATTTAAGCCACGTTCTTGGTCATTTCCCTTGTTGAAATAGCTTTAGTTGTCCACAGTGATGCAATTAATTTACCCCGTTGCAAGAATCCCCAGTGCACTTCCAAATCATTTCAAATCCTCCAGGAACACAATCCAGCCTTATTAATACCACCTCCTCCCCACTTCTTCCCTTTGTTATTGACAGGGTTCGGTAGAAGAGGCACCAGGACCCAGTCCAGAGCAAGACCACAGGAACAAGGTAGAACCAAGCCCACAGCCCAATCAGAGACCAACCAACTAGGGTCTTGAGTCCAAACAGCAACCAAGTAGAAGGATGATGCAAATCATGGCCAGACAGTCCAGGGGTCAAAGCCAGGAGGAGCTGTCTCAAGGCAACAGGGTCCAGGAATGCAGGGAGAGGCAAGGCAGGAACAACAACACAGCCAGATAGCTTCTTTCTGTGGGGAAGGCCTGTTCTTATATAGCCCAGTCCTCAGCTTCCACAGGTGGCACTCCGGAGAAGCTGGGCAACAGCTGCAGGGAAAGGGTCCAGTCCTGCAATCCAGTCCAGCAGTTCTCCCCCAAGAGATGGGACCGATCCTGCCTGCACTGATCTTGCAGGGTTCTGGCATGGCTCCAGTCCTGTCAATTATCTTTTAATGTTTAGTTTTTAAAGGTGACATAGCTCTTATCTGATAAAGTGCTAAATTTGACAAGCATTCGAAAACTGTTCAGAGGAGGGAGACAACAGACACTCAGTTGAGGGTACCATGCCCACAACTGCCACTTTGCAGTAGGATAGGAAACCACATACACCAGAAAACAGAGAAAAGCAATCCCAAATCTACTAAATTCCCCAGCCCCCGATAAACTTTTTTTTTACAGGCCAGTTTAAAAGAGGGCAGGCTTTCCAGGTTCACCATCATTAAAAACACTATCCTATCTCCTGTGCATATCACTCAGAGACCTACCCTCTGAGTGTATACAGCTCTATGATACTGCTGAGGTGCTTGCTGTAACAGAAGTGCATTGCTTGTAACAGAAACAGTCAGTGGTTGCAGCCCCATTCTGAGCTTGCTCAGTCCAGTTTGTTTCCAATAGAGTCACCACCACCACCCTGTACTTCCTTCCCCTTCTCTCCAATTCTATCACATTTTGTTGAGTCTTCAGCTGTGATGACATGAGCCACATCAAATAATTCCTCTGGTTGCTTTGTGGTGACAACAGCAGTATCTGTTCACAGCAATGACTGTGCCCCTCTTTATCATCTATCCCAATCCCTGAGTCACTGTGACTGTCCTGTCTTAACCCCACCAGTACCAGACCTTGTAAGAATTTATTGAAGGAAATTCTCAACATGCAAATTGCCAGTGGCATTCTTTTAGAATATGTGTATTCTGCACTATACATCCAGGACTTGGAAACATATACCTTTTCCGGACTTGAAAAAAGTACCGTTTCCAAACTTTGTAAAATCTGAGAACAAATATGTAGCACTTTTAAGTAGAATATGTATTTGTATTCTACAGTCTTTTAATTTCTCATACTACATTTGCACTTCTGGATTTGTGCATGCATGTGCAGATGTGCGTACACACTCATGAATCCTTCAGTTTGCACAGAGATTGCAGTTTTCCCAGCATTTGAACCATCATATTTTGCACTTATGTTTTTCAATCTTGAGATCACACATCTCTTGTTTTTATGACTGCTGTGTTATAAAAACATTTGGCATCATGGACAGCCCACAATGTGAAAGACCTAGTCTTTAAAAAATATTTATAACCATTTAAAAAGACAAGTGTATTCCATATTTTCTTGATGGAACAAACTTCCAGGAAGCTCTTGTTTATACTCTTACTTCATTTTTTTTATTTATATATATATATAGAAAGTCTGTTTTAGTCTGTTTTAGAAAAAACAACTAGAGTCACTGTAAAGACTAAGTGATTTTATTTGGCATAAACCTTTCTGAACAATGGAGCACAACTTAAGAAGCAAGCTGGAGCTAATTTGACAAATAAAAGCAAAAAAGCAATGTATACTGCTTATATAAACAAATATAAAACAAAAGCTTATATATTGGCATTTCATTGAAATATTTATAACCTACCATATATCATAAAGATCTCAGTAAGAGATACAGACAGCAAAAGAATGTAAAAAATCAACAGTTTAAAATTACACTTAGAGAGAGAAATATTAATATTACTGATAATAATAGCCCCACAAAAAAGTCTGAGAAGTAGTATAATTATTCCTGGCCTTAGCTTCAATGCAAATAAAAAGGACTATTTATCCTGTCCTCAGTCTAAAAACAAGATCCAGCCCCTTGCTGCTACACTCATGCAATCCACATCACAAACATACTACAAAAAGAATGATATCGCAGCTGTATAGGACAAATGTCACCATGTAGTTACTTTTATTGTTTTATGGAGAAGAAAAGTTTCCACTTCAACTTCCCACATTTCAAAATATGGAAGTGACCCAAAATTCTGCGAATTATGACGTTGGCAGCTGTGGGTGGAGCTGGTTGGGTTCTTGCTTCCTGTCAGGTGCTTTTTCTCTCCACGTCTGCTTCTTTCTCATTCAAAAAGATCGCTCAGAGGAAGGAGGGGGAGGATTATTTAGTACAATACCATAAAAATTTCTCTGTGAGCCTTAAGTGTCCCTGTAATGAAATAGAGATGGTTAACAATAGATGACAACCAATGTAAAAACATTCATAATCTATTCCTCAAATGTTTATACACACGTGTGCATGCATGCATGTACAAACACTTTATTTTACATATGTTTTATTTTGTCAGTATATAAGACACTTTTCAGTAAGCAGAATCTCAGGGGAGTCGCAGAATCTGAAAAATAGATGACAAAAATTCTCCCACTATTTAAGTCTCCCTTTTGCATGACAGAAATGTTCATGTAGCAGCAGCATATAGGGTGTGAGGGGAGTCACAGATCTGCTCAGAAAAATAAAGGGATGTAGACTGTGGACATGCTTTTTTTTGTGCCCAGATTCACTGAAATTTAAGGATATAGGAAAAGTTATAATGGGTTGACTCAGCCTCTTGGAGCTTTACTTCTTGTTATGAGCTGTCAAGTCACCTTTGAATTATGACAACATTATGAATGAGTGATCTCCAAAATGTCCTGTCCTCAACAGCCGTGCTGTGGCTGGAGCGCCCCAGCCAGGAGGAGCAGGAGGAGGAGGTGGACACCCCCGGCAGGCGAGCCACCTGCTGCTCTTCGACGGCTGTCCAGGAGCTGCCCACCAGTGGAGAAAGGGAGCCGCCCCCATGGGGCCAAGGACTGAGCGCAGCCCCACCAGGCAGCAGAGGAGGAGGAGGAGGCGTGGGTGCGGGTGCGGGTGGCGAGGAGGAAGAGGCGGCACTCGACTGGCCATGCATGACCTGCCCCACAAAAAAGTCTGAGAAGTAGTATAATTATTCCTGGCCTTAGCTTCAATGCAAATAAAAAGGACTATTTATCCTGTCCTCAGTCTAAAAACAAGATCCAGCCCCTTGCTGCTACACTCATGCAATCCACATCACAAACATACTACAAAAAGAATGATATCGCAGCTGTATAGGACAAATGTCACCATGTAGTTACTTTTATTGTTTTATGGAGAAGAAAAGTTTCCACTTTAACTTCCCACATTTCAAAATATGGAAGTGACCCAAAATTCTGCGAATTATGACGTTGGCAGCTGTGGGTGGAGCTGGTTGGGTTCTTGCTTCCTGTCAGGTGCTTTTTCTCTCCACGTCTGCTTCTTTCTCATTCAAAAAGATCGCTCAGAGGAAGGAGGGGGAGGATTATTTAGTACAATACCATAAAAATTTCTCTGTGAGCCTTAAGTGTCCCTGTAATGAAATAGAGATGGTTAACAATAGATGACAACCAATGTAAAAACATTCATAATCTATTCCTCAAATGTTTATACACACGTGTGCATGCATGCATGTACAAACACTTTATTTTACATATGTTTTATTTTGTCAGTATATAAGACACTTTTCAGTAAGCAGAATCTCAGGGGAGTCACAGAATCTGAAAAATAGATGACAAAAATTCTCCCACTATTTAAGTCTCCCTTTTGCATGACAGAAATGTTCATGTAGCAGCAGCATATAGGGCAGTGGTCAGGGAACAGGAATAAATTACCACAAATGGGGTAAAAATGAAAATCTTGGGGGTAATGAGGATGTGACTCTAATCCCCTTCCCTCCTCCTCCTCTTCTTCCCCGGGGGGGGTGTTTCCCGGCTGCCTGATCACTCCCTTCCCACCCTCTTCTCTGGCCTGCGAATTATGACGTTGGCAGCTGTGGGTGGAGCTGGTTGGGTTCTTGCTTCCTGTCAGGTGCTTTTTCTCTCCACGTTTGCTTCTTTCTCATTCAAAAAGATCGCTCAGAGGAAGGAGGGGGAGGATTATTTAGTACAATACCATAAAAATTTCTCTGTGAGCCTTAAGTGTCCCTGTAATGAAATAGAGATGGTTAACAATAGATGACAACCAATGTAAAAACATTCATAATCTATTCCTCATATGTTTATACACACGTGTGCATGCATGCATGTACAAACACTTTATTTTACATATGTTTTATTTTGTCAGTATATAAGACACTTTTCAGTAAGCAGAATCTCAGGGGAGTCACAGAATCTGAAAAATAGATGACAAAAATTCTCCCACTATTTAAGTCTCCCTTTTGCATGACAGAAATGTTCATGTAGCAGCAGCATATAGGGTGTGAGGGGAGTCACAGATCTGCTCAGAAAAATAAAGGGATGTAGACTGTGGACATGCTTTTTTTTTGTGCCCAGATTCACTGAAATTTAAGGATATAGGAAAAGTTATAATGGGTTGACTCAGCCTCTTGGAGCTTTACTTCTTGTTATGAGCTGTCAAGTCACCTTTGAATTATGACAACGGCTGCAACCGAGCCACAGCAGATGGCAGCTGGCAATGGGCCCTGGCTGGCGGCATACAGCAGCCAAGGCAGCAGCGGCAGGGCCAGCCATGGCAGAGGGCGAGGCCAGGGTGAGTGGCTGGAGCGCCCCAGCCAGGAGGAGCAGGAGGAGGAGGTGGATTTCTCTGTGAGCCTTAAGTGTCCCTGTAATGAAATAGAGATGGTTAACAATAGATGACAACCAATGTAAAAACATTCATAATCTATTCCTCATATGTTTATACACACGTGTGCATGCATGCATGTACAAACACTTTATTTTACATATGTTTTATTTTGTCAGTATATAAGACACTTTTCAGTAAGCAGAATCTCAGGGGAGTCGCAGAATCTGAAAAATAGATGACAAAAATTCTCCCACTATTTAAGTCTCCCTTTTGCATGACAGAAATGTTCATGTAGCAGCAGCATATAGGGTGTGAGGGGAGTCACAAATCTGCTCAGAAAAATAAAGGGATGTAGACTGTGGACATGCTTTTTTTTTGTGCCCAGATTCACTGAAATTTAAGGATATAGGAAAAGTTATAATGGGTTGACTCAGCCTCTTGGAGCTTTACTTCTTGTTATGAGCTGTCAAGTCACCTTTGAATTATGACAACATTATGAATGAGTGATCTCCAAAATGTCCTGTCCTCAACAGCCGTGCTCAGCTCTTCGAAACTCAAGGCGGTGGCTTCTTTTATAGATTCAATCTATTTCGAATGCGATCTTCCTCTTTACCTTCTGCCTTCAATTTCTCCAAGCACTTTTGTGTTTTCCAGTGAGTGTCACCTCTTAATGTGACCAAAGTACAACAGCTACAGTTTCTTCATTTTTGTTTCCAGATAAAGTTCAGGCTTGGTTTGATCTTAGACCCATTTGTTTATCTTAGTGGCAGTCAAGATAGTCACAAAGCTCTCATCCAAGCACCAAGAAATCAGTTCCTTTCTTCACTGTCCAGCTTTCAAATCTATACACAGTAATCAAGAATACAATATTGCAGATGATCTTGGACTTTGTCAATGACACATCCTTACACTTGATGATCTTTTTTAGTTCCTTCATTGCTGCCCTTCCAAGTGTCCTAATTTCTCAGCTGTAGTCTCCATTTGGATTGCTAATTGCTTAGATATATACAAAATCTTAAACAATTTCAAACTGTCAACATTAAATTTCTGCACTTCTTCTGAAGTGGTGATTCGTGTCCCCTTTAATTTTCAACTGCAGTCCTGCATTTGCACTTTTTTCTTTCACTTTCACTGAAAGCTGTTTCAAATCATTGCTGCTTTCTACCAGTAATATGGTGTCACCTGCATATCTTAAATTAATAATGCTTCTTCCACCAATTTTGACTCCTCCTTCATCTGAATCTAATCCAACTTTCTGCGTTTTGCATACAGTTGAATAGAAACTGAGGCTCTCCTCTAGCACCATATTTCAAATGAATAATTTTTTTTCCTGTCAGCTCTCTTTACTGTCCTGCTTTCACACCCATACATGGCGATAGGAAATACAACAGTATGCATGATCTTAGTGTGTGATCAATTTCTTCCTGGATGTTTGCAGAAAAGCTTTTAATTTCATCTTCTTCACATCTGTAGTTGGAACATAACTTGAATTATGGTTATGTTGATGGGTTCTCAGGTTTTCCCAGAAGTCTGATTGATACTATTTGGTCAGATCTTTTATTACAGCCCCTAAATGCATGTGCTACATCTTGCCTCAGTTTTAGAGCCACTCCATTTCTTCTGAGTTTGTCATTTTCAGAGTAAAACACTTTGCAGTTGTTTGACTGAAAATGTCCCATTCCATTCCACTTTAGTTCACTGAGACCAAGCCTTGAAACATTTAAATGTTCAATTTCTTGCTTTATGATTTCCAGTTTACCTTGATTCATTCTTCTTGTGTTCCATATTCCAATTGTGTGTGTTCTGCAACATCAGAATTTCCTTTCATCTCTGTGCACATCAGTCACTAGACATCCTTACAGCTTTAATCTAGTTGCATCATTATCAACAGCTCTATTCATATTTGTCCTTTGCTCTTCCCCTGTAGTTGCTTGAGTGCTTTCCAACCGGAGAAGCTCATCTTCCAGCTCTATCTCTTGTTTCATTTAGGTCTGACTTAATAAAGCTTTTGAAGTAAGTAAACAGTGGTTTACCACTGTTTTCTTCTGCACAGAACCGTACTAACAAAAATTAGTTTGAGTGTCACCACCATTGTCCACCAGAATCACTGCTGCTCAAATTAAATTAAACTATGACTGGAAATTCAAGATAATCACTTCACCTCCTTTGTAGTGTAACTATAGTGTAACTATAATGTTTAATTACTTTTACAGCTTAAGGGATGTGGCTTCAATAAAAACTGCTGGAAAAATAGCTCTTTGGTCAGGACTATGAATTCTAGCTGATGAGCTCCCAAACACACCTGAAGAAATTCCAGATGGTACAAGATTTTATAGAGGAAAAACCAACTTAAGTTTAAACCAATTCTAACATTATTAGAATCGAGTAATGATAGCCATCACAGGATAAACAGTGTGATGTGGTGGACAGAGTGATGGACTAAGACCTGAGTTCAAATGTCCATTCAGCCATGGAAAATCACCTGAGGGGGATCGGCACTTGTAAAACCACCTTAAATATCTTATAAAAGTCTTCTTAAAGTTACTGTAAATTGGTTCTAATCTGATGGTATCTAACATGAGATCAATAACAAAATAACAATACTATTCCTTATTTTAAATTCAAAATAACTTTACTTAGCTTATGTGGGGGCGTTAGTTTTTTATTTATTTGCTTGTTTATCTGTTTGGGTGGTTTTTTAGTTTAGTTTTGTTTTTTGTTAATAGGAAGTTAGGTGATGGTAAAGGAGAGATGAGGAAGCATTAGGTAAAGGCTCCCCTTGACATTTAGTCCAGCCATGTCCGACACTAGGGCGTAGTGCTCATCCCTGTTTCCAAGCCATAGTGCCAGTGTTTGTCTGAAAACAGTTTCCGTGGTCACGTGGCCAGCGTGACTAGATACGGAACACTGTTACCTTCCCACCGAGGTGGTACCTATTTATCTACTTGCATTTTTACATGCTTTTGAACTGCTAGGTTGGCAGAAGTGACGGGAGCTCACTCTGTCGCGTGGATTCAGTCTTACGACTGCTGGTCTTCTGACCCTGCAGTACAGAGGCTTCTGTGGTTTAACCCACAGCACCACTACGTCCTTTGCTGAGGAAGCATTACAGCTTCTCAAAAATTTAAAAAGGGATGTGATGTCAAAAAGTTTGTGGATTGTTGGTCTAGAGCAGTGCTTCCCAGATGTTTTTGGACTACAACCAGAAAGCATGGCCAGCACTGCTAGTGATGAAGGCTTCTGGAGGTTTAGTCCGAGAACATCTGGAGACGCAAGGTTGGGAACCACTGCTCTAGACTAACAGTTCCAGCAATTTGATACCAAATGCTAATGCCTCCATCCTACAGAGTCCTGGGATCAGCAGTTTGAGGAGGCCCTTAAAAGTTCTAGGGATCTAGTACGGAACATCCTTTTCTACAAAAGAGAAGCAAGGGTTTTTTTAATTTTATTTTTGTTTTTCTGAAGAACCAAAACTCAAGTGTCGGAATTGCAAGAGACTGTATAGCTACAAGTTAATTAATGAATACACTTCCTTTCTAACCTAACTGCTTTCAGGTTTTTATCAATTTTGCTCGAACTGTTCATATCATCTCAGGGTTATTGCTCTATGAGGCGTTAAAAGTATATATATGCCACTCTGCAACCACTTTCATATATATTTCTAGGTCTAGTGATTACATACAGAGAAGAAAACTGTGAGGAGCTGACTAATTTCTCAGCTCACTGGCATCAGAAACTTTCTCAGAATATTTAGTACCTCAAATGCTGGAAGAATAATGCAAAGCAGGTGTGGGAAAAATTACTTTTGGCCAATAGACGTATTGGTTGGGGATGATGGGGTTTGTAGTTTAAGACACTGAGAAGGTGCAGGGTTGAGAATACTGACTTAATACTTCATCTGCATGACTGGGAGCTAGTTAAACAAAACTATGGACTCTGGCCTGTAGCACTGGACCTTGGCTTTAGTGCAAGAGGTTTCTTTACAGCTACAAGGGAGGGGGGTGTTTGCATTACGGGGAGGGTGGGAGATGAAACTACTCATTCAAGTATGGCTCACAGAAGCAGCTGCTGTTGCTGTACCTTTCCATTCAAAGCCAAAAAAAAGTGTGGGAGGGTTGGTGCGGCAGAGGAGAGACTCAAATAATTTAACAGGAGCAGGGCACCAGGAATTTTATCAAGCAGTTTTCCAGTGACAGCAGATTGCTAGCACCTCCCTTGTTTCTCAGGTGCACCATGCTAATGAATAACAAAAATAGGAACCTGAAAAACCAGTCTCTGTGACCTTGTGGTGGAACATCTCCAGCTGGCCATGAATCATGAATCTATTTACCCATTCCAGTCCCAGGGAGCAAAAAGAAGCCAGCCTATTTGTGCCTAAAAACTGCCTCTGAGAGGAGAGTGCTAGATGCACACATTTAATAGTCTCACCCCATATTACTAGGCTCTTACAAGTTCAGTGCTTATATGGGGCAAGTCAAGTTTGGAAGGATACTTAAGGTGGACATGTACATTTATGCAGGACAGTCCTCTGTTTGAAAGGCTTTTAGAGGAAAGTTCTCTGTCTGAAATCCCCTGTCTGAAGGGCTTGTTCAAGCAAAGTCTGGTTTAAAAACAAACCAAAAAACCCCCAAAAAACTCAGAACTTGGAAAAGTTTCGTTGTGGACTAAAATACACTGAATGTGCTAAAGGAGAGGGGTGGTTTGGAAAGTTGCAGTCTGAAAAAGGAACATTTCCAGCTCTGTAAAGTAGCCAAAGGAAAAAAAGAATGGGAACCTTGAAGTTGTCTCTCAACACTTAGCACCTAGACAACACCCTGAGCAGGCACAAAGGTCTTCCCAATACAGTGGCCCCTTCACAGAAAGGGCTGTCCTTTTATAACATAAGACACATAGCCATGTGAACAGAAGATGGAGAACACAAGCTGTGTCCGTTGTGATATCCAAGCAATATTCACAATATTGTGCATACAGCACAGAGAGAGAGGAAATAACTTCATTCATCCGTCCTTCTGGTATTCTCCTGCAAGCCCTACAAAGGCACTTTGCTTACTAATTTTGCCAGCTAAGAGAAACAATCCTGTTACTTACTGATTCACAAGCAGCAGTGAAAGACACAAAAGGTGAGGACAGATGAAATAATGGGATGGACTGCCAGAGGAGTCAGCCTTCTTGTTTTCTTTTTCCTTTTCTCACTCAGGAGAATCATTGCCATGTTCTTACTCTATAGGGAGATATGTTTAGAGTTCAAGTATGCTTAGAAATAAGAACATTTTATGCAGAGTTTGGAAATATTACTTTTTGGTCTACAATTCCCAGAGTCCCTTAACATTATTCAATATGGTGGCTGGGACTTATGATCCAGGAAGTAACTTTCACAGCTATTCAGATACTGTAATGTCTTCAGCCAGCCCAGTCTATAAAAATAATAGAGGTAGGTGGAATTTGGCCTGTACATATAACAGCTAAGGTGGCCGCTTACACATTATCAAAAAAGGTGACATGCATCGCCCAAAAAGAGAGCACAGGGAATGCTCATTTGTATAAAATTATGTCTGCTAATTTAGAAAAAAAAAAATCAAATATAAAGAGATTTTGAAAACATTTTAAACAGAATTACAAGGCATTTCACCTATGCAGGGAAGACACTGACCAGGTGACCTTTGTGTCTGCTGAGCCTGCTGTCCAGGTGCAGCTCACCATGGATGGACAAATCCAAGGTCCCTCATCTTCTCCTTCTCCTTCACAGTATCTTTAAATCAGACTTGGACTGGACAGCCATTGAAATGGAGGACACTTTCAAAAGGAGGAGGATCCTCTCTAAAAGAGGACATGCAGCCACTTTTGTGAGATCAGGTGGATGGAAGCTTCCCACTCAAATCTCTTTCACACTCTCCACAGAGATACCTGAATGATGAATTTCTTCAGGTACTTTTGGATTATTGTGTTATCTTGGTCTGGCCTGCCTCACAAGGTTGTCGAGAGGATAAAGGAGAAGAGAGTCAGGTACATTTCCTTGAATTGGTTGCATGAAAAGCAGAATGAAAGTGTAACTAATTAATAATATATAATAAGTAAATTTATACTGAGGGGAAAACAAAAAGGTACCACATATTTGTGAGGGTTCTGGATTTAGAATCTGGGTCTCCAAAACATCCTTAGACTTTCGTAACTTTGCAACAGGGGAAAGATTTATTGGAGTATTCAACATAAAATCCTTATCTATGAAATTGTCCCACAACTGTTCTCCTGCCGTCAATGGGTCTGACAGGGGTACCTCGGCATTATTCAAGAACAGATTGGTTTCTTCAGGATTACATGGACCTGGCCATCCCTGGAGGGGGTCATCCTTCAACATCTCGGTGTCCTGTCCTTCCAATAGAGGTATGGTCTCATCCTCAATGACTCTGGCCCACTCGACGTCTCTGGTGTCTGGGAATAAGACCCAGGGTCCCCCCGGAAATCTCTCCTCCTCGCCTCCTCCATTCTCCATCTCAGTCTCTCTTGCTTCTCTCTTTCTACCTTTTCCTTCTCCTCCCTCAGTCGCCTTCGCCACTCGTGAGCTTCGGCTTCACCCCAGTATGACAGCCATGGGGGGAATCTCTTGCCTCCTGCGGTAGTCTACCTCCTCCCTGGGCACACGGAGTCATTCCCACTCCCCAGTCCAGGGATCTTGTGCCCAGATTCACTCCCAACCTAGAGGCAATCCCCTTTCCCCTCTCTTTACTTCTGCTGTCCCCGCCTCTATCTCCACCCTCTTTTTTCTACCCATTCCCACCCAATGGTTTTCTGTTTGAATGGCTACCGTTAACCCATGCATTTTGACTCCCAGATCCCAGGTGTCGGTACCCCATTGTTCTTTCTTAATGGGGGGGTTGAGTGGGTGAGGTCTGTATCTCCCTTTCTGTGGTCTACGGAGGAGATGGCACTCCAGGGAGAGGCTTCTTTCTCTCGCCTTCCATCTCACAATATTTCCATGTTCCTCCATTTTGTGGAGCAAATTCATACCAACTGAGAGGACAAGAGAAGCGGGGAGATAATTAATCCTTTCCTCCATCATTATGGATTCAATTTAAATTGCAGAGGAAAGGTGAAAAACTGCTTTTAGTTTTTTGTGGGGTAGGGAGCCAATCAAAGATGTCTTGAAATCAGAATGAGTTTGGTTCTTAGATAAAGGAATACAGAAGTTAAGATTGGAACAGGACATAACCCAATAGCAAAACACAAGACATACACATCCTGATTAACATTGCTGAGTTCAATCTGTGGTACACGCAAACCAGCCTCCAAATCCAGAAAACATGGCAGGGCAGAGCATTAAAAAATCAACTGTGGACTACAACTCTCAGCATTCCTGTAGCTGTGGGATTCTGGGAGTTGTGGTCCAAAAAGTAATTTTCCCATGCTTTCACCCAAAGCGTGCAATAATAGGCAAGACGGAACAGGAGCAAAAGGCAGCATAAACTGTGATCTGTTTCCATGAGCCACCCGCTACAATCTTGCATTGTTCATCCAGGTGGATCTCTCTACTCAGCCAAGGAAGACATAAATCAGACATGAATATAACCTGGACCCATGTGATTAACCGTCTGCCTGTCACCAAGGCACTAGGAAGACAGCACAAGTAGATTTCTCTACCCATCATGACACAACAAGATGGAGGTACGCTACCAAGTGTCATCCAATGAAGTCACAGCTCCGTCTGGCAGTAAAAGAGATTCGAGTCATTTGGGGAATGGAAAACCAAGAAGCAGAACTGAGAGATTCCAAGATAAAACTTGCCATTAACAACATCTATTCCAGACAGGGGCATTCTGTGGAACCTCCAACAAGGATATGAATGGATTTGTAGGTCTGTACCTCTCTAGTTACTCTTAGGCATCCTGAGAAAGAGACAGCTGGGCAGATAGAGCCAGTGTGGTTTAACTGCCATTTTGCTGGAGCAGAAATGAGGACACCTGGGTTCAAATCCCTGTTTGGGCCTAAAGATCAGTAACCTTGAGCCAGCTATAGTTTCATAGCCTGGCCAACATCACAGAGTTTTTGTGATGGTAAAGTGCAAAAGAGAACCACATACACCACCTGAACTTACTGGAATAAAGACATATGTGTGTAACAAGTGAATAAAATAAACTAGTTAGTTAGTTAGTTAGTTAGTTAGTTAGTTAGTTAGTTAGTTAGTTAGTTAGTTAGTTAGTTAGTTAGTTAGTTAGTTAGTTAGTTAGTTAGTTAGTTAGTTAGTTAGTTAGTTAGTTAGTTATATACATAAATTTATAGGCATGTATATAGACAGTACTATATGTGAAAGCAATGCTCTTTTTCCGGTATCCTCAAAAATTCGTATTGGAGCAGTATTTATAAATTAAAATGGAAATGGCTAGTCATTTTCACTATATAGATATTTTTAAGACTGGAATATGGAGAGGGGGATCTGACATATTTCCAAGATCCTATGTGATGACAAGGGAAATATGATAGCACATTTCAAATACTTTTCAAATACTTGAAAAGTAGTCAAACAGAGGAGAGACAAGATTTGTTCTTGATCATCCCAGAGTACAGTACATGTAATAATGGACTCAAGCTACAGGAAGCCAGATTTAGGCTGAATATCGGGGGGGGGGGGCGTCATAACTGTTAGAGCAGTACAACAATGGAGCCAATTACATCGGCAGATGGTGAGCACTCCAATGCTAGAGGCATTCAAGAGAAAATTGGACAACCATCTGCTAGATCTGGTTTGGATTCCTGCATTGAGCAGGGGTTGGACCCGATGGCCTTCCAACTCAACTACTCTATGATTCTACAGTGCTGCTCTATTGTGCTCTTCAACTGGCCAGAGCCACGTTCTCCAACATTAGATTTTGTTGGAGTTCAGATTTTAGATTTAGATTTTCAAGACCACTGTTGTAGCAGAATCAATAGTTGCAAGCAACTAGTCAGAGTGACTATGTCATTTGCTCTGCCCTCCCATGCTCTGTTTCCTCTGAGATTAACGGAGGGAGTGGGAATAGATTTTTTTTGGTGACAAAATTGTGGGGGTGGGTGGACAAATAATTTCCTGATACCTAAAAGACTAGCAGGTTTAATTTGGCTTCAGCTTTATCAGATGCAAGTAGGTTTCATTCACAAAAGCTGACACCCAATAAACATTGTTCGTCTTTAAGGCACCACAAGGCTCTCATTGTTGGCTGATCTGGCTTGGGTTTTTCTGCCACACACCTACCCTGCCCTGGTTGTGAGTTCTTGGAAAGAGTATATTCATGTGACATATACAGTATACATAACACACACATATCCCTCTACAAAAAAGGATAAAAATAATTGCCCATATATTCAGTTATCTTCAGAACCATTGCTATGGGGGCTGCTATGATAAGCCCCTGCTACCTCTTCTTCAACATCTCCAATTACCTCCCCCATGATGGCAGGAGGATTCTGAGAGCCTCAGTCCAAAAAAAAAGTTTCCCTCAAATATTGTATGATTTGATGCAATCCTCATAAAGTTGGCAAGCAACAGTAACTGCCCATGCTGGCTGGGGAATTCTGGAAATGATAGTTCAAACACATCCCTTTTCTAGGTTCAATTTCTGCCAGTGCTGATTTCCTCCTTTGCCACCACAACACTGCAACCTTAGCACTTCAAACCAGGTTACAGGCACCAAGCCCTTGGAAACTTGGACTTCAGTGGGCGGTTTTTGGGGGTAGGGGTGGGGCAATGGGGGATCCCACTTTCTTGGATCCTGTCAAATTGCTGACACAAGTATGCCTCACCGGCACCCTACCCTTGATGCATCTCCATTCCAGCAGGTATTACAAGCCTTTCACATCCTTCCTCATGGGAGAGAAGTGTTTAATTAGACCATGTAGAAACTTGCTGTGCATGTTTATGTCAAAGCAACAATGAACAAAGATCAGCTAATTACAGAAACCTCTCTGTGTGTCTGTATGGGGCTGGGGGAAGCTGAGCAAAAACCCAAAATGGTTCCTCTCCAATAAATGGAGCAGAATTGAGTCAGGGCTCCCTTCATTCTCCTTGTCTCCTTTTAATTAAAAGCAAAGAGTGGAAGAAAAAGAAGCATAGCTAGAAAGCCAGACACAAAAGGCCAAGAGGAAAGGAAAGTACTGTAAATACACGAGAGAGAGAGAGAGAGAGAGAGAGAGAGAGAGAACAGGAAGTTTGCACTTTTCTTTTGGAGTCTAAACCCAGGAAAGTGGAGTGATGGGGGTTGGGTATCCATGTGTTCTACAGTGGATCCTCTACTTATGGAATTAATCCGTATTGGAATGGTGGCTGCAGGTCGAAAAGTCTGTAGGTCGAGGCTCCATTGACCTACAATGTATTGAAAACCAATTAATCCGTAACTGGCCATTTTTGTTCCATTTTGGGTTTTTTTTTCCCAGTCTGTAGGTCAATTCTCCGGCTGCAAGTCGAACCTAAATTTTGCAGCTAGATAAGTCTGTAACTCGAAAAGTCTGTAAGTGGAGCCATCTGTAAGTCGAGGGTCCACTGTACTTGAAAGAGGACAATCCTCTATCTGACAGCTTTTTAGAGCCTTCTGTTCAAAAGTGTGCTTTATTTCAAGTCCAAGAGAATTTTAAATATAAAGCATCTTAAGAAGGGGTAGGAGGGCCTCAGGATTGCCCATTCACATCCAACACCTGCACAGCTGACTGTCCAGGTAGTCACAGAATTCAACTAGTAATTTCTGCTGTCCCCTCTTATGGGGA